AATTCACCGTCACTCCAATAAAAGGGTTTAATGTTGTTCTATGGGAAAGCGGAACCATCGGCTGAGCGCACACAACGCCATTGCCGAGTGATCAGCAGTGGAAAAATGACCTACCGACCCGAGAACAGACAGATGAGGTGGCTACATGCGTTTTGGTTTTTTTTTTTTTTTTTTTTCACACTTCCTGTCCTAGGCTGACAACGCGGCGGCAGCAAAAAAAAAAAATCAGATTTGATGACACAATGTGTGTTGCGGCACTTGCTGCGTCGGAGCGCCGTTCAAAATGAATCTCACCGCAGCGCATGTCGCGTTCTGAGGACGTGCACGTCGGGGGGAGGGCCCCGAATCTGGCGTTCACCAAATGTTCTCTGTTCAACCTGGAAGATTCACCTGCAGAGAAAGTCGGATTCACTGCTTTGTAAATATGTAGGGGCAGGGCAAGGGGCGGGCAGGGGGGGCGGCCGCCCTGGGCACTGTGGTATCATGTGAGGGGGGATTTGCATTAAGAGGGGGAATTTGGGGGGAGATTTGTGTTGGGAGGGGGAATTTGGGGGGAGATTTGTGTTGGGAGGGGGAATTTGGGGGGAGATTTGTGTTGGGAGGGGGAATTTGGGGGGCGGCAGGGGGTAAGATATGTTCTAGGAGATGAAAAGGTGTGCTAGGAGTGGTGATTTGGCAGGGTGGGGGAGGGGGGAAGAGGATTGGTGCTGGGGGGGAGGGGATGTGGAGGGGGGGGGGGCTGCACTAGAAAAGGTGATATGGCTGAGAGGAGGGAGTGAATCTGTGATATGAGGGGAATTTTTTTTCGGGGGGGGGGGGGGGGATTGGAGGAGGAGAATTTGGAGTGGGGGGGGATTAAGGCTCAGAGGGGAATATTGAGGGTCAGAAGATTTTTGCTAGGAGGGGGAATGGAGCCGGGGGGGAGAGATTTGTACCTCCCCCAGTGATCAGACTGTACATTGTAACTTTGTAGAAGGAGGAGGAGGCATTTCCTCAGTCTCCTCCCCCAGTGATTAGACTGTACATTGTAACTTTGTAGAAGGAGGAGGAGTCATTTCCTCAGTCTCCTCCCCCAGTGATCAGACTGTACATTGTAACTTTGTAGAAGGAGGAGGAGTCATTTCCTCAGTCTCCCCTCCCCCAGTGATCAGACCGTACATTGTAACTTTGTAGAAGGAGGAGGAGTCATTTCCTCAGTCTCCTCCCCCAGTGATCAGACCGTACATTGTAACTTTGTAGAAGGAGGAGGAGTCATTTCCTCAGTCTCCTCCCCCAGTGATCAGACTGTACATTGTAACTTTGTAGAAGAGGAGGAGGCATTTCCTCAGTCTCCCCCTCCCCCAGTGATCAGACTGTACATTGTAACTTTGTAGAAAGAGGAGGAGTCGTTTCCTCAGTCTCCTCCCCCGGTGATCAGACAGTACATTGTAACTTTGTAGAAGGAGGAGGAGTCGTTTCCTCAGTCCCCTCCCCCAGTGATCAGACTGTACATTGTAACTTTGTAGAAGGAGGAGGAGTCATTTCCTCAGTCTCCTCCCCCAGTGATCAGACTGTACATTGTAACTTTGTAGAAGGAGGAGGAGTAATTTCCTCAGTCTCCCCTCCCCCGTGATCAGACTGTACATTGTAACTTTGTAGAAAGAGGAGGAGTCATTTCCTCAGTCTCCCCCGGTGATCAGACTGTACATTGTAACTTTGTAGAAGGAGGAGGAGTCATTTCCTCAGTCTCCCCTCCCCCGGTGATCAGACTGTACACTGTAACTTTGTATGAAGGTGAGAGTCGGCAGCAGGGGCTGATCTGTGTCAGACATTGTGTGTATGGGAAGGAATGAAGTGTGAAGCTCAGCGGCGTCTCTCTCTCCAGGCGCGGCGGGGGGGTTGGCGCGTGCGGCGGGGGGCGGCGCTCACTTGATGTACGTTGATGGTGTCACATTTGGGTGTCACACTCCAGAGTTGGTCCCGCGTGGCGTCCTCAATATTGATGGCGCTCCTGGGGCGGCTCTGCGCGGGCTGACGGCGCGGTGGATTTATCCTCGGGACGGGCGATATATGTGTCTGGCAGGCGGGAGGAACACGCGTGTTTTGCTGGTAAATAATGGAGGAGATTTCCGATCGACCAATAAATCTGCAGGAATATTCTTTGTGGATTCGGTGTCATCGGCGCGTCTATCGGGGGGGGGGGGGGGAGGGGGGACTGCGCCAATCTGTCCCGCCGCCTCCGACTTGTCACTTTAGACGCAAGGCTGTTTTTTTTTCCTGGAGAAGCCTTCAGGCCAAATCCTGATTTATAAACCTTCAGATCGACATTCAGAGAAGACGAACGTCGGCGCCGGGCGAAGATGGCGTTGTACCGCGAAGATCGACCAACCAATGAGGGCCGTCCGTGCGTCCATCCAATTGTTTGACCTCCGGGAATTCTTCATATTTTGGTCGAACTTAAAATCCTCGAAGTCGCCAACGTCGCCTGACATCACATTTACACCCGGCCACACACTTGTAGATTTCAGGACGAACGTTGGGAAGACAATCCTGGGGACGGCCCACGACTGGACCAACGTTGGGAAGACAATCCCGGGGACGGCCCACGACTGGACCAACGTTGGGAAGACAATCCCGGGGACGGCCCACGACTGGACCAACGTTGGGAAGACAATCCCGGGGACGGCCCACGACTGGACCAACGTTGGGAAGACAATCCCGGGGACGGCCCACGACTGGACGAACGTTGGGAAGACAATCCCGGGGACGGCCCACGACTGGACCAACGTTGGGAAGACAATCCCGGGGACGGCCCACGACTGGACCAACGTTGGGAAGACAATCCCGGGGACGGCCCACGACTGGACCAACGTTGGGAAGACAATCCCGGGGACGGCCCACGACTGGACCAACGTTGGGAAGACAATCCCGGGGACGGCCCACGACTGGACCAACGTTGGGAAGACAATCCCGGGGACGGCCCACGACTGGACCAACGTTGGGAAGACAATCCCGGGGACGGCCCACGACTGGACCAACGTTGGGAAGACAATCCCGGGGACGGCCCACGACTGGACCAACGTTGGGAAGACAATCCCGGGGACGGCCCACGACTGGACCAACGTTGGGAAGACAATCCCGGGGACGGCCCACAACTGGACCAACGTTGGGAAGACAATCCCGGGGACGGCCCACGACTGGACCAACGTTGGGAAGACAATCCCGGGGACGGCCCACGACTGGACCAACGTTGGGAAGACAATCCCGGGGACGGCCCACGACTGGACCAACGTTGGGAAGACAATCCCGGGGACGGCCCACGACTGGACCAACGTTGGGAAGACAATCCCGGGGACGGCCCACGACTGGACGAACGTTGGGAAGACAATCCCGGGGACGGCCCACGACTGGACCAACGTTGGGAAGACAATCCCGGGGACGGCCCACAACTGGACCAACGTTGGGAAGACAATCCCGGGGACGGCCCACGACTGGACCAACGTTGGGAAGACAATCCCGGGGACGGCCCACGACTGGACCAACGTTGGGAAGACAATCCCGGGGACGGCCCACGACTGGACCAACGTTGGGAAGACAATCCCGGGGACGGCCCACGACTGGACCAACGTTGGGAAGACAATCCCGGGGACGGCCCACGACTGGACCAACGTTGGGAAGACAATCCCGGGGACGGCCCACGACTGGACCAACGTTGGGAAGACAATCCCGGGGATGGCCCACGACTGGACCAACGTTGGGAAGACAATCCCGGGGGACGGCCCACGACTGGACCAACGTCATTCCCACAGCCGGTTTTGTTTGCTTTTAACATTTGATTTTGGAATGAATCGAATTTCCCGAACAAAAAAAAAATACATTCACCAAAATTTGTGCGAGAAAAACGTTTTTTCATCCTTGAACTTTCTCGCCGACAACAAACGGCCCCCCATGGACCCCCATGAACCGTGGAATAAAATCGTATGAATGTTCCTGAAAAGGACAATTTTTGATTTGATATTCTGCCGGTCTGCGGGCGGCTTAGGGGGCGAGCTGAACGATTTCCTAACATGGTGCAGGTTCAAAAAGTGGCGTGCATGACACCACGATCCCTCCCTGTAACCCCGACACCACGTATCCCCCCTGTAACCCCGACACCACGATCCCCCCTGTAACCCCGACACCACGATCCCCCCTGTAACCCCGACACCACGATCCCCCCTGTAACCCCGACACCACGATCCCCCTGTAACCCCGACACCACGATCCCCCCTGTAACCCCGACACCACGATCCCTCCCTGTAACCCCGACACCACGATCCCTCCCTGTAACCCCGACACCACGATCCCCCTGTAACCCCGACACCACGATCCCCCCTGTAACCCCACCACATCCCTCCCTGTAACGATCCCTCCCTGTAACCCCGACACCACGATCCCTCCCTGTAACCCCGACACCACGATCCCTCCCTGTAACCCCGACACCACGATCCCTCCCTGTAACCCCGACACCACGATCCCTCCCTGTAACCCCGACACCACGATCCCTCCCTGTAACCCCGACACCACGATCCCTCCCTGTAACCTCAACCACTCCTCCCTGTAACCCCGACACCACGATCCCCCCTGTAACCCCGACACCACGATCCCTCCCTGTAACCCCGACACCACGATCCCTCCCTGTAACCCCCGACACCACGATCCCTCCCTGTAACCCCGACACCACGATCCCCCCTGTAACCCCGACACCACGACGATCCCTCCCTGTAACCCCGACACCACGATCCCCCCTGTAACCCGACACCACGATCCCTCCCTGTAACCCCGACACCACGATCCCCCCTGTAACCCCGACACCACGATCCCTCCCTGTAAACCCCGACACCACGATCCCCCCTGTAACCCCGACACCACGATCCCCCCTGTAACCCCGACACCACGATCCCTCCCTGTAACCCCGACACCACGATCCCCCCCTGTAACCCCGACACCACGATCCCTCCCTGTAACCCCGACACCACAATCCTCCCTGTAACCCCAACACCAATCCTCCCTGTAACCCCGACACCAACCCCGACACCACGATCCCCCCTGTAACCCCGACAACACTATCCTCCCTGTAACCCCAACACTGTAACCACCCCCCTGTAACCCCGACACCAACCCCCCCCCCAACACTAACCTCCCTGTAACACCGACACCAACCTCCCCCGTAACCCCGACACTAATCCTTCCTGTAACCCCACACACTGACCCCCCCTGTAACCCCGACACCAACCCCCCCCCCCGTAACCCCGACACTAACCCCCCCTGTAACCCCGACACTAATCCTTCCTGTAACCCCGACACCGACCCCCTATAACCCCGACACACCCCCCCTGACCCCCCCTCCCTGTAACCCCGACACTGACCCCCCTGTAAACCCGACACTGACCCCCCCTGTAACCCCGACACTGACCCCCCCCCCTGTAACACCAACACTAACCCTCCCTGAAAACCCCAACACCGAGCCTCCATGTAACCCCGACACTAATCCTCTCTGTAACCCCGACACTAATCCCCTCTGTAACCTCAACACTAACCCCTGAAACCCTGAAAACCCCAACACCAATCCTCCATGTAACCCCGACACCAATCCTCCATGTAACCCCGACACCAATCCTCCATGTAACCCCGACACCAAACCTCCCTGCAACCCCAACACTAATCCTCCCTGTAACCTCGACACTGATCCTCCCTGTAACCCCGACACTAACCCTCCCTGTAACCCCGACACTAACCTCCCTGTAACCCCCAACACTAATCCTCCCTGTAACCTCGACACTAACCCTCCCTGTAACCCCCAACACTAATCCCTTCTGTAACCCCAACACTAATCCTCCCTGTAACCTCGACACTAATCCCTTCTGTAACCCCGACACTAATCCTCCCTGTAACCTCGACACTAATCTCCTCTGTAACCCCGACACTAATCCTCCCTGTAACCCCGACACTAATCCTCCCTGTAACCTCGACACTAATCTCCTCTGTAACCCCGACACTAATCCTCCCTGTAACCTCAACACTAATCCCTTCTGTAACACCGACACTAATCCTCCCTGTAACCCTAACACTAATACTCCCTGTAACCTCGACACTAATCCCTTCTGTAACCCTAACACTAATCCTCCCTGTAACCTCGACACTAATCTCCTCTGTAACCCCGACACTAATCCTCCCTGTAACCCCCAACACTAATCCTCCCTGTAACCCCGACACTAATCCTCCCTGTAACCTCAACACTAATCCCTTCTGTAACACCGACACTAATCCTCCCTGTAACCTAACACTAATCCTCCCTGTAACCCTAACACTAATCCTCCCTGTAACCTCGACACTAATCCCTTCTGTAACACCGACACTAATCCTCCCTGTAACCCTAACACTAATCCTTCCTGTAACCTCGACACTAATCCTTCCTGTAACCTCGACACTAATCCTTCCTGTAACCCCGACACTAATCCCCCCCGTCACCCCGACACTAACCCTCCCTGTAACCCCGACACTAATCCTCCCTGTAACCTCAACACTAATCCCTTCTGTAACACCGACACTAATCCTCCCTGTAACCCTAACACTAATCCTTCCTGTAACCTCGACACTAATCCTTCCTGTAACCTCGACACTAACCCTCCCTGTAACCCCGACACTAATCCTCCCTGTAACCCCGACACTAACCCTCCCTGTAACCCCGACACCGACCCCCCCTGTAACCCTAAAAAAAACCAACCCTCTCTGTAACCCCATCCCTGTAGCCCCCCTCCTGTAACCCCAACACCAAACCCCCCCCGTACCCCGACACAATTCCCCTTTGGACCCCCCCGGTCTGTAATAGAAGGCCCTTGTACACAATGAGTGGACATCTCCGGTTTGTGTTCGGTCAGATTCGACTTTCATTCCTCACAACGCAACCTCCCTCTCACACTGAAGGACAGCAAGAATGGCCGACTGGGCGGAGTTGGGAACCCCGGTCCGGCACATGTCTCTGAATCTGGGGGGACACACAACCCTTCGTAGAGGAGATCCAGCCCCCCACAGCCCCCTAGTGTCCCCCCCCCCCCAATACAGTCTGGGGCGGCAGCTCTCGTTTTTTCAGCCTCTTTTTTTTGTGCCATCTACTGCTTGCCGGCGGCAGAAGCAACCGCGGGAGCTTGCAATCCACGAGACGTTGGCTCGTCCCATCCCGTATCGATCGCTCCGGAACAGCTGCCTCTCTTCCTGTCCCCCCGCAGCCATCATCCACTTCTACGGACTCTTCCCGATCCAATTAGCATCTGATTCCCCCCGATAATCCCATTTGTATTGGATTTGCAATATTTGGGGGATAGAAATGGCCGCAGCTAATATGACAGAGAAATGTCCTGTCACCGAAGACAATTAACGTCCACATGTAAAGATATAATCTCCTAATGAGGGGATAATGAAAATCCTCGCCCCCGGCGGCCCAACGCCCGCCAATCACATGAAGGAGAGGCCCATAAACACCGGCCCAAGAGGACCTGTCATAGCGGGGGGGGGCACCTGGAATGAGGGCATAATGAAATCCTCGCCCCCCCCCAGGCGGCCAAACGCCCGCCAATCACATGAAGGAGAGGCCCATAAACACCGGCCAAGAGGACCTGTCATAGCGGGGGGGGCACCTGGAATGAGGGCCATAATGAAATCCTCGCCCCCCGGCGGCCCAACTCCCGCCACTCACATGAAGGAGAGGCCCGTAGACATCGGCCAAGAGGACCTGTCATAGCGGGGGGCACCTGGAATGAAAGCCATAATGAAATCCACGCCCCCGGCGGCTGATGTCCCTCCACTCACAGGAGAGGAGGCCCACAAACGCCAACCAAGAGGACCTGTCATAGCGGGGGCAACCTGGAATGAGGGCGATAATGAAATCATAGCCCCGGTGGCCCAACTCCCGCCACTCACATGAATGGAGAGGCCCGTAGAGGCAGGGCAAGAGGACCTGTCATAGCGGGGGGCACCTGGAATGAGGGCGATAATGAAATCCTCGCCCCCGGCGGCCGAACTCCCACCACTCACAGGAGAGGCCCATAGACGCCAACCAAGAGGACATGTCATAGCGGGGGGGGCACCTGGAATGAGGGCGATAATGTAATCCTCGCCCCCGGTGGCCGAACACCCGCCACTCACAGGAGAGGCCCATAGAGGCCGGCCAAGAGGACCTGTCATAGCGGGGGGCACCTGGAATGAGGGCGATAATGAAATCCTCGCCCCCCGGGGGCCCAACTACCGCCACTCACAGGAAAGGCTCATAGACGCCGACCAAGAGGACCTGTCATAGCGGGGGGCACCTGGAATGAGGGCGATAATGAAATCCTCGCCCCCGGCGGCCGAACGCCAGCCAATCACATGAAGGAGAGGCCCATAAACATCGGCCAAGAGGACCTGTCATAGCAGGGGGGCACCTGGAATGAGGGCCATAATGAAATCCTCGCCTCCGGCAGCCGAACACCCGCCACTCACAGGAGAGGCCCATAGAATGCCTGCCAAAAGGACCTGTCATAGCGGGGGTCACCTGGAATGAGGCCGATAATGAAATCCTCGCCGCCGGAGGCCGAACGTCCGCCAATCACATGAAGGAGAGGCCCATAAACACCGGCCAAGAGGACCTGTCATAGCGGGGGGCACCTGGAATGAGAGCAATAATGAAATCCTCGCCCCGGCGGCTCAACTCCCCGCCACTCAGAGAGGCCCATAGAGCACCGACCAAGAGGACCTGTCATAGCGGGGGGCACCTGGAATGAGGACCATAATGAAATCCTCGCCCCCGGGCGGCCGAACGCCCGCCAATCACATGAAGGAGAGGCCCATAAACACCGGCCAAGAGGACCTGTCATAGCGGGGGGCACCTGGAATTAAGGCCATAATGAAATCCTCACCCCCGGCGGCCGAACGCCCGCCACTCACAGGAGAGGCCCATAGAACGCCAGCCAAGAGGACCTGTCATAGCGGGGGGGCACCTGGAATGAGGGCGATAATGAAATCCTCGCCCCCGGCGGCCCAACTCCCGCCACTCACAGGAGAGGCCCATCGACGCCGGTCAAGAGGACCTGTCATAGCGGGGGGGCACCTGGAATGAGGGTGATAATGAAATCCTCGCCCCCGGCGGCCGAACTCCCACCACTCATAGGAGAGGCCCATAGACGCCAACCAAGAGGACCTGTCATAGCAAGGGGCACCTGGAATGAGGGCGATAATGAAATCCTCGGCCCCGGCGGCCGAACTCCCACCACTGACAGGAGAGGCCCATAGACACCGACCAAGAGGACCTGTCATAGCGGGGGGCACCTGGAATGAGGGCGATAATGAAATCCTCACCCCGGCGGCCCAACTCCCACCACTCACAGGAGAGGCCCATAGATGCTGACCAAGAGGACCTGTCATAGCGGGGGGCACCTGGAATGAGGGCGATAATGAAATCCTCGCCTCCGTGGCCGAACTCCCGCCACTCACAGGAGAGGCCCATAGACGCCCGACCAAGAGGACCTGTCATAGCGGGGGGCACCTGGAATGAGGGCCATAATGAAATCCTCGACCCTGGCGGCCCAACTCCTGCCACTCACATGAAGGAGAGGCCCATAGACTCCGGCCAAGAGGACCTGTCATAGCGGGGGGCACCTGGAATGAGGACTCTGTCCCCTCTCTGTACAGCGCTGCGGTATATGTCAGAGCTATATAAATGTATAATAATAGTGTGTGACTGTGGGGGAGGGGACATTAGAGTGTAAGCTCCTCTGGTACAGAGACTGATGTGACTGTGGGGGAGGGGACATTAGAGAGTAAGCTCCTCTGGTACAGAGACTGATGGGACTGTGGGGGGAGGGGACATTAGAGTGTAAGCTCCTCTGGTACAGAGACTGATGGGACTGTGGGGGAGGGGACATTAGAGCGTAAGCTCCTCTGGTACAGAGACTGATGGGACTGTGGGGGAGGAGACATTAGAGTGTCAGCTCCTCTGGTACAGAGACTGATGTGACTGTGGGGGAGGGGACATTAGAGTGTAAGCTCCTCTGGTACAGAGACTGATGTGACTGTGGGGGAGAGGACATTAGAGTGTCAGCTCCTCTGTACAGAGACTGATGGGACTGTGGGGGAGGAGACATTAGAGTGTCAGCTCCTCTGGTACAGAGACTGATGTGACTGTGGGGGAGAGGACATTAGAGTGTCAGCTCCTCTGTACAGAGACTGATGTGACTGTGGGGGAGAGGACATTAGAGTGTCAGCTCCTCTGTACAGAGACTGATGTGACTGGCTCAGTGTTCTCTGTACAGCACTGCGGTATATGTTGTTACTATAATAATATAGAGAATAAACTATCACTAGCCAAGGGTGGGAAGTGTGGGGGTGGGGAGGGGGGGTAAGGGGCACCTGTGTTGTCACCCATAATTGGCATTTCCATTCTGGGTGTCTCATGGTTATTAGGGTAGGGAGCGCAGAGGGAGGATGGTGGGGGTTGTAGTGGAATGATCCCCCTCCATTGTCCCCGGTATGGTGGGGCCGGTGACCTGCTCTCAGGGTTCAGCGTGTCATGGACATTTGGGGGGGTCTCTCTCCCTCCAGCTGCTGGTGTTGGTCTGGAGTCTCTGAGCTGAGCAGGTTGCTAAACAAGTTAATTAGATCAAGAAGATGTTCCATGTCTGCTGAACGAGCGAGCCCCAACTGTCAGCCTGCCGGACCTGTGAAGGATGGAGATACCTAATTCAATTAGGATTTCTTTCCCTCTGTAAACTAATTACACTACAATCTGCCATGAGGACCCTTTCCAGCATCTGAGCTGGAGGACAGGGAGGGGCCCCAGGGGGCCAAGGACTCTTCTGAGCATCTGGAAGTTCTCTAATGTGATGTTGAGATAATGAACTATGTACTATGATTCCCCGGCACTGCCATCATCTCAGCATACACCATCATATTAGAGTGTAAGCTCTGGTGACCAGACCCCCACCTGTCGCCTTCCTGTTATCTTCCATGTAGATAAATATAAATCATAGGAAGAAAATTAGTAACAATGTTT